CCCCCGCCGCCTCCGCCGCCTCCGCCCGATGCGGAGTTCTCCTTCTCCATGCCAGTCCTCTGAAACACATCCACCATGGGTTTTCGTTACAGACATTAGGTATCGCGCGCGAGACCGCACCGCTCGCAGCGGCCGCAAACGGCCAAGGCCTCTTCACCGCCGTTCTTCTTTATCTCGAAAAACCCGAGAGGGAGAGGAGAACAGAGTGGAACAGGTTTCGCGAGTAATCGCCGCGGCGCGATATTTACGACGAAGTCCGCACATACCATCGCCGGGGCTGATACCTCGAAATTTCGAGTATCGGTGCGCGTATTTTCGGAGCCCGAAAACCGCGTGAATATTTAAATAAGAATGACTAAGAGAGGCCTAATGTGTGTATCTTTAAACCTCATTGTGTAGTAAAATACGAATTAAATATGAAACGCGCGTACGCACGGTTACGCAAGGTAGTTAAAATGTCATCTGACAAATGCGATTCGCAAGAAGTATTCTTTTGTTTTATTTATTTATTTTTTTTTTATCAAACCACCTTAAAATTTTCACACAATGAAAACTCGCAAAGAATATTTCGAATACTCTTCTCAAAGAGTGGCCGCGCTAATAAAAAAACAGTCGAAGCGAAAAGACATTTTTCTCATTACCCATGTACAATATAGCTTACAAAGAAGCACATCGTCGCCTGCGTTCTCCGCAAGAGAATGTCTTCTTCGCTTAATTACTCTGTAATTAAGTAGGTATGCTATGGAAAACGCTCGTATTTCTCATGGAATTTCCCGACGCGAAAAAAAAACATCTCTCGCGTACACACGTACGTAAAGACACACACACACACACACACACACACACACACACACACACACACACACACACACACACACACACACCACGTGTGTGGGTGTGGGTGTGTGTGTGTGCAGCGCGTACGCGCAACTCGTTGCTCGCATTTGCATTCGACGACTGTTTACCAGTCGAAGAAAGGTTTCCTCCGGCGGCGCTTTAAATAAAGGTCGTTCTCCCCTCCCATCTTTTCCCCTCCAGCGCTTCAATCAGCTGACTGGCGCACACCCCTCCCTCCGCGCGCCGCCCAGCTGTTGTATAAATATACACATCGTTACAACGTTTGAGTTAGGCTAGGTTCGAGTTAGGTTCGAGTTAGGTTAGGTTTGAGCGGTGAACTCTGTGCCATAATAGTATATAATGAAGAGTGCTCATTACTATGCTTGTTGTGTTATATAGACACTCCGACCGCAATTGTGAAGAAAAAAGAAAAAAAAAAAATAAATAAAAGCTTGCTCTCTCGTACACTTTCTTTCACTGAATGAGAATTTTGATTAAATCAACGGTTTTATCATACACGCGCATTTCCGCACCACGCGCGAAAAACATGTACATTTTTTTTTATCGAATAGATTCTCTGTTTGTAACTTGAATGAGGTGACTCAGGGAAGACGACGACACGTTCAAAGAGACAAATTCAAATGTTTCGCGCACAGCGATATTTTCAATACGGAACGGCATTAGAAAGACCAGCGGCGCTTTGTTCTCTGTGTCACATTATTTTTCATTCGAGCGAACACTCAAGTGTGTACCGAATTCACTGGGATACGAGTTAAGGCTGATGCCAGACTTGACGCGCTGCGCAAAATGCCGCCTATTGCCGCACACATAGCATAGTCACACAGTTATCATAAGTACGAGCGCACACACGAAAGAAAGAGAGAGAGAGAGAAAGAGAGAGCCGTGCGTGCGAGACGACTGTTTGTCCGCAATCGTGTTAATTAATCTCCCGAGCGAGATGATTTTTTTCACCGAGTGTCTCTTTTGGGGTAAGGTTTTTTTTTCAAGCGAGAAAATCCACGCCTCAGCCACCAACGTTCTCGCGCACGTGCATTTCGCGCACTGTATCGCGCGCGCGCACGCTGTACACATGCAACGTCAAGAGTGTTGAATTACGCGTTTTAACGCGTTTCCCGCGTCTTCAAAGGGCGCACTTTTTGCAAAAACTCGCGTGCGCGGATATGTATATATATGTATATATATATATATATATATACATAATCTTTCTCAGCGATAAACGGAATGGAATTTATACTTGTGTGTCTGAAACGCGGCATTCGGTTATTAACTCGTTAGTTTCTTAAATAAAGCCGGTACGTAGCCGACGGCGAGCAAGCTGTGTCTCAATGCGTCTTTTTCTGTCGTCTATTCACGCAGGCGTAATGTATTTTCAAGCGAAAGAATTCGCGCGCTCGACGAGTTTACAGTCTCTCTCGGTGTTTTCCGTTGAAAACGGAAATTCGCACACTGAGGAGGAAAATACGAGTGAATCATTAATATGAAAGTAATACATAATATTTTGATTATCTCGTGTACGTCGAATATTTACGCGAAGAATATGTCTTTTATCGAGACGCAGATCGTTGTTCGCAATGCGCAACAAAATGTTTGATTTTTTTTTAACCGAAAATGATAAAATTCTGATCAATCAATACATTATTCTTCCGTCCCGTGTATTACGTTACAATCATGGAATAAACCAAAAAAAAAAAAATCAACTCTGTACACGCTCTCGCGATCACAAGCTTTCATTTTGACGTAGTTGCAGCAGGTACTATCCGGTCGTCACGCGAGCGTTATCAGCAAGCGTATCGATTCAAGTTAGCCCTCTCGTTCTTATCGGTAACTGTACGATCTTGTTGAAGAGCTGTGCAAGCATTCAAGATATCTAACAGTTGTACAAAATCGATCTCCGCGAAGTAATAGTGAAAGTGACGTATAAATAATCCCTTTCCTTTATTCTCTCTCTCGTTACTTCAATGGATGAAAACAAGATGGAAAAACGGTCTATAGCGGGGCGATATTGTGAGGCACAAAGAAGAAAGTAAGATAATTCGATTTGTAAATATTTCAAAGGCAGTTTGTCTTTTTCTTTTCTTTTTTTTTTTTTTTTTTTTTTTTTTTTTTTTTTTGTACGTATATACACTTCTCTCGCGGTCTCTTTCGCGCGGTCTCTCCTCGTGATTTTTCTTTCACGCTGCAAAGCTACTCTTTAAACAGGTTGTGCCGTGATATTTCTTTTACCTTTCTTTATCGTTTTCTATATAAAATATGTAAATAAACTAAACTAAATTAAATACACACAAATACACACGCGTCCACGTAATTGACCTTTGGAACGTACATCGCGATCGCGTTTTTTATAAATCCATCGTCTTTAAAATCAGTGCGATATATATATATATATAAAATTTTTATTCGCTTTTATTTGATACCTCGTTCTGCGTTAATTAATCTGTTCATTTATGTACTTATCAATATATATATAAATGCAAAAGCAAACACGCGAATTTTATTTTAAGCTTTGCTCTTTATTACACATAAAAAAAACTATCGACAAAACATTAATTCTCTCATATATAAATTAGTTTTGTAAATATACTTTTGCGTTCATTTAGAAAAATCCCAATAAAAATTATATTATTTTATCGTTATTATTATTTTTGCCAACAACGGTTTTTATTGAGCTCTCGGATTTGCGTGATGTCACGCGAAGCCCCTTCGTAATTGAACGAAAGAAGCCACGTAGGAGAGGATCTTTGTCGCCGGAAATTATCTTTCGAGTGATTGTGATGAGAGCGCGTCTTCTTGCTAAGTATTTCTCACTGCTATCATTTCGCTTGCTTGTAACTACAGATCACAGACTTTATCGTCGAGTGATATCGTAGAGGTCTCTTAAATTGATCGTAAAACAAATAATTAGATAAAACATATTTATGTGTCAATATTGTTTTTCCGCAATTTATGTGGCAAGCGCTTTCCTGCGCACAGCTTCGCGAATCCTCATAATTTCCGAATTCTTACAACATAGGCGCGCGCGCGCGCACGCGCACGATGAAACATCAGAAGTGCGTGGGTTGAAATTATCATCGTCGACGAGCATATACAATTAGACACAGATCTCTCGCCGAGTGCGCCGAATAATACGGCACCGCGAGTTCTCGTAATTGTTGCCACAGTTTTTTATATATCTTTTTTTGTTTTTTTCTCTTTCTCTCTCTCTTTCTTTCTCCAGAATAGAACTTTTTTCTTCCGTGTAAATCACGAACAACTCGCAGAGACGGATGCTTGTAATCAAGTGTGTAACGATATACCTTCATTCCTCCATGTGTTTTCTCTCTTAAGTAACACTTTCCCGTTGCGATACCGATTCGAAGGACGGTAAGCGGAAACTTTACGAGCACTTCAATTTTCACTTTAATCATCTAAATGCTGGCGTAGCGTAATTACGAGAATTAACGTGTGAATGGAACGCGTATATACCGGGAACAAAGTGTCGATACGCGGAAAAATACTGGCGCGAGTATCGCGCTTACTCGGGTCTCTTAGTCGACGTGACTCGATATCGTCGTCATTCGCATGGCGTCCGACGAATATCCGGGCGAGTCCCGTGACGCCGCCACCCGGTTTTCAGCTAGGCGAGCACACTTCGAGATGCTCGTAAATTGGTGAGGAAGCGAAGGGCGAGGAACGAGGGCGCGAGAAGGGCGAGCGCGAGGAGGGTGAGGCGGAGAAGGAGGAGGGAACGCCTTGGGGCAAGGGAATGCGCGCGGGAGCGGCGAGCGAAAGGACGAGAGCAAAAGGAAGAGACACGGGTCGACCATCGATTTCTCGACCGGTATTACGCTCCTTTCCCTCGGCCGGGAAAAACTCGGTGCCAGGTTGGGGCATCGTCGTCGTCGTCGTCGTCGTCTTCGTTCGTGAGAGAAAAGAACTTACGACAGAAATGCGCGCCCCGTTTGTTCATGAGAAGCGACCCTTGGCGCTGAATACCCGCGTTCGACTTCGATTTATTGCGTTTATTTCTACGATTACTTTGCTCTCCGCTTTTCGGATATCTCGTTCTTATTAAAGAACGCGAATAGCTCTCGTCGCAACAAGCGCAATGAGCTAAAAACTTAGACAGCAGATAAATCAACTTTATAAAAAATCACGAAGCTCTAATTTTTCACAAAAACAAAGATTGAAGAAGACATCTATCTGACGTGTATACACACATACAAATATATATTTTAACACGAATAGAAAAAAAAAAAAAAACCACATACAATTACGCCGACAATATCAGGTTTTTTTTTCCCCGCACGGTCAACCTACATCGTGAAAATTTGGTTTAACATTCTTATGCAAACTCATTTGCGCACGCACGACCACGAGCAAGATATGTAATTACGCGCACTCACGAGTGTCGCATCGATGTCACTGTGCCGCATCAGATAGTACTTCCATATACGTTAATTATACCCGATTCCGCTCTCCCCGCGCGCGTTTCGAGAAGAAAAACACACAGTCGCACGAACTTTGTATTATGGATGTTTTTATCGTGACGCAAATCGTATCGTCATATATATATCGTAACAGTAATTAGCAAATTTAAATAGAACACCAATTTTCAACACAAGTCCATCACTGTCCCCGTTAATTACCGTAATGAAACCAGAATGTACGTGAATATAATAATGTTTACGCGCCGAGCCCCAAAATTTCATCTCGAAAATGTTGCAAAAACTTTGAATTACAATAACAAAACGATAAGATAAAATTGCGTTTACATATATTACCACGTTCATGTTTACGAATATAAAAAGAGTGATCTTCATAATTCATCGCCCGGAAGAACAGATACAACTGTATATTTATAATATTAAAAAAAGAGATTACCGTGTTGGTACACATTTGAGTGTGTGTGTGTGTATGTGTGTTGTGTGTGGAGAGAAAATAATACAAATATTAAATTGTAAGTTTAACGAAGTATGTTTAGAGAAAGAGAAAGAGAAAGAAAAAGATAAAATAATCAAAGAAATTTAATGAACACTTGTAACTAAATTATTTTGCAGTTTAGTTAGAATTATGATGTTTAAGTTTAATAGAGTGTATCAAATAAATTAAAAACTCTCTCCATCTTAATAGCGTGCTTTGTGATATTATTTAATGACGTTATCGTAACACGAATGTCACATAAATCTCATCGCAGTTTAATCCAATCTTTTCATTGCTCGTTCAGTGTAATCTAATAAGTATAAAATAACGTGCGTTTTGATACATTTCTCTCTCTCTCTCTCTCTCTCTCTCTCTCTCTCTCTCTCTCTCTCTTTCTCTCTCTCTCTCTCTCTAGCTCTCTTTTTTTTCTCTCAATTATATGTATACATTATGTATACTATACAGTTACTGAAAGCATGAAAAAACTCAGTATTGCGCTGCGTACGGAAAAATACGACATAATAATAATAATAATGTGACACGCGAGAACTCGCGTTCCGCGTAAGAGGATCCCGCGAAACTCAACACTAATTCTCTAATTTGGATTCGTTGTACATTTCGCGCATGCAGCACAATCTCATGTTATTGCGCGCGGCATTCAAAATTTGCTTGATGCGCACTTCCATCATACTATAAGTAGATGTCGAAAACGAAAAGACCATACGCGCGTCTCTGCTAAGACGCGCAGCATTTGACTGCTGCCGAGCATCAACGCGGCGGCGGCGGCGGCGACGGCGGCGACGACGACGACGACGACGACGAGTCGAGACGCAGAGAAACACGCCAGCGTGTCGTCACGAGCGACTTGCTCGCTCGTTCGCTCTCTCGCGGTCGAGCTTCGTTTTCCATTCAATGAATCCTTACATGGAACACTTCGCCGAGGATGGCATTACGCGCATTTTCCCCCGTCCCTCTGCGCCGTCCGCGTCGCAGCAGATGGCACTCCTATCTGCGTCAATTACAGGCGGACTCTTCTCTCGTTGGGGCGTTTCGAGGGAAGAGATACGTGGCGCAACGAGGACCTCGGATCTTGATGGTTTCGCAGAGAGCGAACCGACATTACGGACCGTCGCGCGTTGGTGTGTGCGGGCACAGGCAAAAGGGAGGGAGGGAGGGAGGGAGGGATCAGGACAGAAACGAGTAGAGAGAGAGACAGAGAAATGGAGAGAGAGAGATCGTCGCAAGAGATGGTGGAGGTGGAGAAGCAGCACAGAGCAATCAATACAGAGCCAGCAGAGCAAAACCATCCCTCGACTACTCTGTGTGTCGCTCTTTCTCCTTCTCTCTCAATCTCTCGCTCTCCCAAGCGCCAATATTTCTCTTTCTCTCTCTCGCTCGCTCTCGCTCTCTCCGTTGGGCATACCAATCCCTTCTCTCTCTCTCTCTCTCTCTCACTCTCTCGCCTTCGGTCCGTCTCTTTCCAACCAGCGCGAATACGACGGTTGCATGAACGCTACGGCGCCGTTAACGGGGACTTCCCCACGCGCGCGCCAAATACACATAGATATGGCACATGCACACATTCGGTGCACCGAGCGCGCGTACGCAACGGGGCGACCGAGCGTCATCATGCTAACGTACATACGTCGCATCGGTTGCAATTATAGCGGCGATGCTCGCGCTCACAGAACACGAGAAGCGACAAACGTGCGGATGAGCAAGCGGGCGGGCGGGCGGGCGGACGAGCGAGCGAACAAGCGAGTTTCTCCCGACCGAGAGAGCGCGCATACTTTTTCCGAGAAGTTGGGAATGCCGTGGAGAAAACGCGCGGAGATACGCGGAAGCTGTAATAAGCGAATTATGTGGGAGTATTCGCGACGGCGATCGATACGAAGAAATGCGCCGGGGCCGAGCGCCATAATCTCTCTCTCTCTCTCTCTTTGGAGAATGTCGACGCCTACGTGGTGAAAATCCGCCATCGTTTCTCTCTCGCCCCCGCTTCGTCGTGGCGAATCGGATTCGAAGCGCGATTGCAAAATGAAGTTGTATTAGCGCTCGAATGGCACTCTATTTTAGCAATAAATGCAGATCTTCCCCCTCTACTTCTGGTTGCAGCAGCACCACCACCAGAGGGGATGCGAAAGAACTTGCAGACAAAAACATGTGTTCGAAACGCGAAATACGCGTCGGTAATTTTTCGCGAGAAATTAATCATTTCAACAAATTCGTTCTCTCAATAATATGAAAAACCGACAATGTTCAATGGAATATGTAACGATTTAATTGTAATTTGTACATACAATCTACGGTATTTAAAAAAAACTTGTTTCCATAAACTTTATATGCATGTTCGTCGCTCTCACTGCGAAAAAAAAAAAAAAAAAAAAAACAGTCACAATAGAATTTTATATAACTGTATTGTTTGTAACGACACGTGGTGTAACAATGTCGCGTTTCTATAGTCGTATCGGAAGTTAAAAGCGGCGTATTTTATGAGACGTTTAAAAAAAGATAGACGTAACACACTCGCGCACACGTACGCGAGCAGTATATGTCGAAGTATAACTCTTTTCTTCTCTTTCTGTCTCTCTCTCTCTCTCTCTCTCTCTCTCTCTCTCTCTCTTTCTCTGTGTATATAACTCTCGCGGGATAAAAATAGAAAACCCGATACTAAAACATTAATGAATGACGCGTATTCTTAACGCACATTTATTCTCGCGGCAGAGAGAAACGGATCAACGATCGGACATCGCTCGTCTTACTTACGAAAACTTCACCGCGCGAGCTACTTTCTACTATTATCCCGACGGCGAGAAGGGAGAAAAAGTCGCGATTAATAAGCCGCGAGAGAGAGAGAGAGCCGCGCAATTAATATAATCGAACTCGAATTACGAAATGAGAGAAGCGTGCGCGGGGATAAAAATTCGCGATATTAAATTCGCAATTTAAGAGATATTACACACACGACGATCGTATGCTGCGAACATCGCTTTAACGATCTCGCGCGTCTCCCCCTCTCCCCGTCTCCCTCTCTCTCTCTCGGTTACATAGCACTCGTTTGCTATGTACCGTCGCTTATGTGTTATATACAGCGTGTGTATGTGTGTGTATATATATATACATATGTATATGTATAAGATCGCGTACTCACGATTAATTACGAAGCCTCAACTCATAGTAGAAGCCGACTCCACGAGACTCCATCGCACCTGAAACACACAGAAATGCGTTACGTCATTAATAGCAACGCCGAGATCACGGCCTAGGATGTTCTTATATCAGCGGTCGGCCAGGATTATTACACGACGCGCGTTTACACGCGCGGCCATTAGCGGATATCCTCCTCCTCCGAGCCGAGACCGACCGCGCGCGCGCTCGCATGCACGTACTTCGCGGCGCTTTCGAATCGTTTATCGCTTCGTTACCGCAGCGCACCCACGTGAATAAATCGACGATAATAAAAGCCGAGTTCTTCTCGTTTTTCCTGTACTGACTCGCGTCGTCGTACTATCTTCATTTCGATTTTGCCGTAACGACGTCGTAAACGCATCTTGTCAGTCGCGTGTTTTATTTAACATTTCTAACGGAATTGAGAAGCGCTACAATTTTAGCGCGATTTATTCATCATTAATTTTATCAGTCCCGGTAGTAAAAGCAGATTATGTATTCGCACACGAGTGTAGAGGCAATAATTCGCGTTAGAAAATGTTGAAAACATTTCGTTAAAAATGTGTTCTACTCTGTAAGAACTTTTGAATGTGCGCTAATACACCGTATACGCTACGGCCCCAAAATTAATTTATTACTACGAAAATACACCGTATATAATATGGTATAAAATTTGTGACAGTCGGTGCTATCAGTCGTGTCACATAAATGAAACATAGTTACGAGTATCATAACTCAGTCCAAAATTGAGAGTAATTTCGAGAGAGAGAGAGAGGGAGAGAGAATCATGAATCATTATACATATGCGTGTGTGTATATACATATATATATTATAATCATAACAGTTGAAAGTGGTCGAAAGGTTCGTTGAGAGAGATAAGTGGCTTAATTTTTTTTTTCTTCTCCGGTATTCGTAACTGCGCGCGCGTGCGCTATAGTTGCGAAAGCGCATCATCGCGCGTGCACACAAACCCGCCGTGTGGTGGAATCGCATCCGCGTTTCTCATCCCTTCGCCACACATTCGCCCTCTCTCCTCTCCGTTTCTCTCTCTCTCTCTTTCTCGCTCTCTCGCGAGAGACTTTTCCCTCTCGACGCAGCAAAGTGATACCACAAACAAGTAAATAGACTCCCGGCTGAAATTGACCAAAGTAATATTTGCCATCGATCGCGTTCGCCGCGGAAAAGGAAACACACGAATGCAGCAGAGCGTTTACATTGGCGCACGCTAATGCATGAATGCCGAGTCAATGTTAGCGATGCTTGCTTTACTGTTGCAAAGTCGCTTATTCGCTCGCGCGTCTACGCGCGCCGCGCGTTTCCGATAGAGAAGCTACGATAGGTATGCGGACGTGTGTATCCAACTAAACAAATGTGTGCAACTCGCATCGTTCGACGCACTGTAACTGTATCGCTTGCGAGCAAAAAGCGATACCGCGCTATGTCGCTTATATGTGCCTTTACAAACGGGTAGCGGCGCGCACTTGAAATTTTTACGAGTTACTTGTGCGAAGCACAACATATGCGGAGAACGTCTTCCTCGCTCGCGGTGTATTTATAGCGCGCAAGCGTAACGCGGAAACAATCGTGCGACGCGAATAATGCGCGCGGTAAACGTTCTCTCGTTACACATGTGACGACGTTGTTTTTGATACGTTTCATCAATATACTTTCTATATAACTCTCCTGAATATGAATCTATTATTTCTATTGAACAAAATAGATCCTCGTGTTGAGGTTTGGTCGAACCTTCTCGGTTCTGAATTTAATCCAAATGTTATATCATCTCGCAAATCGAATCACGACTTAAATTTGAATACGGCGAGGCGATGAACCTCACCTCTTATCATGTGCGAGCAAAAATCTCTGTGATCCGCGGAAATTTCAACAAAAGAAACACACGGGCATGTCGCGGTGTCTCTTTTGACGCTTACACTTGCTAAGTTACACTTCCTAAATTTTTTTCTCATTGTATTAGGCATTTGATAAATTGCACACACACACGCGGTGTGAAGAATGTCTTGAAATATTAATAAAAGAATTCTCGAGAAATCGGAAATGAACTTTCCAACATCGGTCTTAACTTAATTGCGCGATGTGTTCCATTATATACGATCTGAACGCGCAGGCGTTACATTCCCGGAGCGGAAAGATCGTAACAAATTTTTGCTCTATACATCAACAAGGTGTCATTTACTATATGTACAGGCTGATTCTTCGCCATTCGCGCGCAAGAAACGCTTTGAGAAAACCGACGCGTCATTAGCGCGGCCCGGAGTTTGCCCGCACTATCTTACATCGTTTGTGCGCGCGGGTTTCATACTTTGCGAACGTGAATAATCAATAATCTGTTGTGCAATTAATTACGCGAACTCTGACACACGACCTTTAGTTCTTTTTTTTTTTTTTTTTTTTCTCATTGCGCTGGAGGCGATTTCCCGGGCGGTGACGCGGATTAAAGACTCCGGGGGCTCAATGGGTTGCTCGACCTCGGCCGATTTTATCTGCCCGGGCATTAATTCATTAATTAACGAGGAAGGCTCTTATCTCTTCGCCCGACGTTGATAACGGCCAAGAGCCTCGACCTAGCACAATCGAGCGTAGAAAGGCGGCCCTGGTATCCGACACGTATGAAACGCGGAAAAGCCGCACCGCGTCGGCGATATCAAGCGCGCGCGCGCGCGCGCGCTTCAGTTATATCCATAATTCATGAATAACGTGACGCTCGTCATCCGAACGTCAATCGCACACACGTGCACACACACACACCCATACACACACACATACGCGCGCGCACGCCCGAATATTTAGATTAGCGGCATCGTTCGCAATAACAATAACTTTTATTGCCAATATCGTGATGCCGAAGCGATAGCATATTAATTTTTTACCGACCACTTTTGTGTACCTCTCAAAGAATAGAGCGCGCGTGCGCGCGCACACGGAAACAGAAACAAAAAAAAAATTATAAATAGATGTGCGCGATAATTCTTCTATTGTTAACGTTAATTCTTGTAAATATAACAAATGTTCTTTTATTCTTTGCAAACGATAAGTAAGAACATGTCTAATTGCATCGAGAGAAGAAACGCAATGAAAAATATATTACACACTTTTATGCTCTGTGTAATTAAGAACACGCCTTTACGCGCCTAGCCAATGCTCATCAAAGCGGAACACAATTACGTTGCGACCAGTGCGTCCATTTCTGAATGCGCATGTGTGGAATAATAATTATCTTCGGTTATCGATCATTTCAAACACTGCATTTTGTTAAATTAGAGATCGGCACGCAACAACGAACGGGAACACGAAATGGCCATTTTGCCGTTAACAGTCGATACAAACAGTAGAATATCAACCACAACCCATTGATTATCGTGACCATCGTGGTATAACTCGCCTCCATCCTTCATCTATTTACATAGTGTAATCGATATATTATACGTCGAAAATTAAAAACCGCAATGTGCATTCTCCAAACTAAACAATATATATACACAATCCGTATATATATACAACCGTGTATACAGCACAGAAACGTTAGGCAGTTATTACACTATAAACGCATTGATTTATCAACCTCTCCATATGTCCAATCGAACGCGCGGTGACAGTTAACAAGAAAAAGTTTGACGGGGAAAAAAAAAACCCCCAGCAGAGTTGAAGTTCAACGAACTCTCGAGAAAGAGCGAACTGTAAATTGCGCGAGTTGTAAAGAGACTGCGGGACTCTGACTGAGTCATCGATATAACTTTACGTACGCACGTATACACTTGTACTCGTCACTACTACAGCTTCATTCATGAACTTGCGCTTTTACGCGCTGACGCACGCGCGCGAGCGCGTGTGTACATTCGTCTCGCTTTGTAAACAGTCATACGTGCGCATAGGTAAATATCACATGTATGTGTGTGTGTATGTACATATATATATATATATGTAGTATATAATATATAATATATACACACGGTGTGCAAAATAAATCCACTTTGAAATGCAAATTACATAAAAAATGTTGACAAAGCACATTTTGTATCTTTTTCAAAGACCACTTACTGCTTTTAATAAATTTTAATTACGACCACATATAAAAGTTAACCAAATTTCTTTGAGTTTTACACGTTTCATATTTTAAGATAATTATTGCCAATCGATCGTTGATTTTTTTTTCTTTTTTTCACCTGTCTTTATTCGCTTCAAAAACAACACCGAGAACGCTGAAATGGAATCTCAATGGATTTTTCCGCGCAAAAAGTACGACATCTCGCACTGATATACGCGCACTTGATTTACACACGCACTCTGTCAAATTTAATTTAACTTCCTGCACGCTCAAAGGGCTGTGTCGCGCGCTTAATCAACGTGGCAAACATTTCGCAATACACTCTGTATACGTACGCGCAATGCGCGCGCGTACATCGCTTATTACGGCGCGAGATTTCTCTGTGAGAGCGAGAACCCGAGAGAAGAAAATATATAACCCTCTATTTTATGCGCCATCAGTACACGCGCGCGTGCGTGTGTGTGTGTACTTGTACGCGTGCCGATCCAAGTATTATTCACTCGAGAGTACGTACGTACGTACGTACATATATAGGTATATAATATATACATATATGTATGTATGTATATAAATACGTCGATATATATATATATACATATATATACATATATGTACGTATGTAGGTCCGATGTATGTACCGACGTGTTTACATACGACCTTCCCCCCATCGGTATCTAGGTCAGTGTCTTCCCCGAGAATGGCAATTTCGAATGGCGCGATTTGACGTGCGCGCGTGAGTTTTTGATTTCTTCGATGCACTTCGCGTTAACGTTATCAAAGAGGATCGCGCGTTCTCGTGTTCTCGGGTTTTTGACGTGTTTTCAAGAGAGAATTTGTATGTCTCTGACGCGGAATATACATCCGGCGCCGTTTTGCCGTGTAAAATTCGAACTGAAATTTATATTGTTATTTAATTGAACGATATTGTTTCGCACAAATTTAATTGCAACGTAAAGCCGTTGTAACATTGACTGGCA